GGTGAGGCAGGTTACAGGTAAATGCAAGGTAAGGGGGTCCCCCTTGGAATTCGGGCCCAGTGAAACTCCTCAGGAGAGTATTGGGAGGTATAAGTATAGACTCCTCGGGATGGGGTGAAGCCTATCCCACCAGGACAGAAACTGCCTCTATAATGGTCAAGAAATTACAGGAGATTATACCTAGATTTGGGCTACCAGCAGTTTTAGGATTAGATAACAGCCCCGCCTTTGTAGCCAAGGTATCTCAAAGTATAGCTCAAGCCTTAGGCATAAATTGGAAACTTCATTGTGCATACCGGCCACAAATTCAGCGCAGGTATGAACAGGACTCTAAAAGGACTTTAACTAAATTTATCCCAGAAATCGGTGAAAACTGGACCAACCTCCTGCCCTTTTCCTACTTACAGGCCAGGTGTAGCCCCAACCAGGAGGGGTTCTCCCCTTTTGAAATCATGTTTGGTAGACCTCCCCCTATCCTGCCCAAAGTTAGGGGAGGAATTAAAAGCTAAAAGTCATAACCATTCCTTGCTCAAGTCCTTGCAGGCTCTGCAGTATGCCCAGAGAGCCACCCATAAGCTTGTTCGAGACACCCTGCCGGTACTCACCTTGGACCCTGTACATCCCTTTCAGCCTGGGGACTAGGTGTGGGTAAAGAAGTTCACTCCCCAGGGACTCACCCCAACTTGGAAGGGACCATACACTGTCGCCCTAAGCATGCCCATGGCTGTTAAGGTTGACGGCATCCAGACCTGACTACACCACTCCCAGCTCCTGCACCAGAAAATGGCCTTGATCCCGGCAGCCAGCAGCCTATATTGAAGTATGGTAGCAACCATCTATAGTTTAACCCTGCTGTTTGGCTTATGTACATATTTGCTTTGTTTAACAATGGACAGGTTATTTTGATTCTCTGAATTATATAAATCATCCCATTGATTAAATGCCTTATTGATTGTAATGTGAATATCCCATTGGTTGTGGTCATACTGGTCTTAGAAAGCACATTTTCCTTTACCTGGGAAGGACAGCACAGTTATCCCAAGGTCAGAGGGCTCCAGTTAACGGGTCCCTGTTGACTCAGTGTTCCGGAGTCCCAAAAACTGTAATTGAGATAACATGCTGCTTCTGCTTCTGTAAACTGCTTTTTTGCAAACCAGGTTCCTCATTCCAGACCCAAAGGTTCTAGATAATGTGTTTCTGTCAATTCAGTAATTTAGATAACATGCTGCTTCTGCTTCTGTAAACTGCTTTTTTGCAAATCAGGTTCCTCATTCCAAACCTTGGGATGTAATCAATACCTTCGTGATCTTTGCCTATATAAATCTGGCGTTGGGGCTGGGCCAGACACTATGGGATCTGGGAGAGCGAAATGCCCCCTCATAGTCTCGGGTTTGCAATAAATGTGCCTCTTTACTTCCACTTCTTGAGGCGTCCTTGTGTGATTCACGGGGTACATTACAACATAATCCTGAGATGAGAAAGAACCATTGCCAAAAGGCTGAGTCTTAAAGTATAAATAATTTATAAAAAAAAACAACACACAACTTTTCGCCCTAACTGGTTTGGCTCAGTGGATAGAGCATCGGCCTGCAGATTGTAAGGCCCCAGGTTCGATTGCGGACAAGGGCATGTGCCTAG